ATGCATGCAAGCTTGCACATAAGCTTGCTCTATTTCAATACTGTACGTCTATCTCGTTAAAGTGCTATCGAAACGTAGGCAGATGGTAAGTTAATCTGAGCTAATATCACAATTGTATAATTACTTTGAAGTCTTATAATGTTAAACACATCAGATTGTTCTGAAACATACATGACAAAACAACATTCTAATACTTCATTGGATACTGAACTAAACAAAATACAAACAACAGTAAAAGCTATATAAAACTCATAAAGAAAAAAAATAAAGTCCAAATGATAACACTGGTAGGCATGGAATAAAAAGTTTCCAAATCACATTTTTTTGCATTCAAGATAGTTTCATTTTTTTTTTTCTAAATTCTTTATCTTATTTTCTTCCATGAGGTGTATGCAAACAGCTCTGAACAATTTAAAAGCTACATGAAAATTTTAGATGCTTTCGTGACAAACTTTTCTTCGGAGATATCACCAGTTAGAGAACAATATCATCTTAATTTCTTTACCCGCTGATATAATGCATCCACGACCTGTAACAGGCTTTAGTTACAGAAATTGTACTCTAATTCAGATGCAACAAACGAATTTCTAGAAAATCTTACCTCACTCATTGCATGAATGGCTTCCACTGCTGCTTCGTACGTTTTATCCACAGGAGCAAGATCATATACAATCAGCATTCCCTCGCCTTGGTGTAAACTTCCTTAAAAGGAATGCTTATCTATTCAATTTAGATACAAATTAGTTTAACAGAAAAATTTGGCTTGTGAAATGTAGTTGAATGATTACCTGAGAACTTCCTATCCAATATCATTTGTGACAATTTCTTTTCCACTTTATCCCTATTAAGCCCAATTTTTGAAGCGATGTGTTCAAGCTGGACGTAGGAGTACGGTTCAATTATCCGACACAAATCTTTTTCGAGCATACTATCACTTAAAGAATTGAAATGTTTCTTTACAACAGCATCGCACTGCAGCTCATCACGAAAACTTCCAAATGCCTAGATAAGGAAACTGATTTGAATGTTGTAGCAACTAATGCAAATGAATCTAAAACTATCAACGACCAAACATACAGTATTGAAGTCAGCCAATGAACGTTTTTTGGCAGCTTCTGCGACTGCACGCATGGCATCCAAATCTAATCCACTATATTTTAACGCTAACTTCGCCGACAAAATTGTTGACACTTCCTCAGGTGAATCGAGCATTATCTAAAATTTTCACTACAGTAATGCTTAATTTGAAACATCGTGAAAAAAATGGCCAAGAGAAAACAAAAAAACAATGATAATCAATGCAGATGAAAAATTAAAAGCGAAATCTGCAAAATCCAACCTTGCTTAAAAGCATATATTTAAGAGCTCGTATAGCATCTTGTTTATCGTTAACGGTATCGTACCCCTCGAATGCTTCATAAAAATACGAAAATGCTGTTTTAAAATCGCGTTCGCTAGCAGCGTGCAAAATCCCAGACTGCATATCGAGAGCAGCTTGCATACGAGGAGGCATGTAAATTGAATTTGCTGTTGTTCGCGCCGATGTTAAAGCAGCTCTAGCCTGAAAGAAATTCATAAAGAGCAAAAATCAAAAATTTTCCAGAGGATATATAGTAATATATACAGTGAAATGGCAATATATTTCAGTATTACATTAGAAATATTGTCATTGCTGCGTATTACTGATGAAATGCTACTGCAATTATAAAAGTGTAAGGACAGGACAAACAAGCTTGACATAAAAATTGAATTGGAAATATTATATAGCAACCTTTGACAGATTTCCTAAATGGTAGCAAGCTTTGCTTTCTTCCAGTTGTACCTCAACAATCACATCTTTGTCATCCACTTTCTTTAGTTCGCGAACCAACTGATTTGCTAAAATTTGTGGTTACTGATTACGCAACCAACCATAAGAATCCGCGCTAAAATTCAAAAACTGGGAAATTTATATACCTAACTGCTGTGCTTGAGTAAATCTGCGAAGATCGTTATAAAGACGAACAAGACGAGCCTGCAATGTCTGCCGCAAGAATGTTCGATTTTGTTCGGTTGCCCATTGTATGCATTCTTTGCATAAATCAACCTTCAAAACATATCGGTAAACAGAAATGATAAAAAAATTACTAAAGAAGGAAAATATATAACAAGTAACCAAAGAAGATGAAAAAAGACCTCTTGTTTTTATTCATGACTTATGATGTTTTTATTTTGAATATCTTACTTATTTCTCCAGGTACTAGAAATTCTCGATTACCTATCAACGTTAGTGGATCGGAAGCGGGTAGTACAAGCTACGAAAGAAAATTCAACAATCCTTTATTGATCATTCAAATTAAGTAAGATCACCTTGATATCTCCATCTTGATTATCAATCATCAGACACAGATCAACCAAATTCCGAACAAGTTTGGCCGCTTTCGCCTTGCCTAATGATACTAGAAATGGGCGAGTATTTTCGATCATTTTGCGCAATTCCTGAGTACGTTTATTTTTTGCCAGCATATTACCCAGCTCCATAATCGATTCCTCCTTTTTTTTAATATCTGCTTCATCATTCACCGGTGATTTCACTGCAAAAGTTCTCATATCTCGCAAAAACAAAATTACTGTATATATTAGTACTTAACAGCTTACACAGTGTAATATTTATTAATGAATAAAATGCACTGCACAAACTAAATATAATTTTGCAATTTTCTCAAAGCAAAATGTGAGTCTTTTCAAACTCCGGAAGTTCACAGGATGAAAATCCTGAATTTAGAAAATCTAATAGGACCCAATATCTAGAGATAAATGTATGATATTTTTCAAATTAATTTTGACGGTTAATTCGTTATTTAGCCAGACAATAAGTGTGCTTCTGAGATACAGAGAAAAAGTAAATGATTCATGCAAAGTTCCTGTCCAATCGTATTATTATACAAAAGAATGTATTAGTTAAAAGACCTGCGATAAATTGAAGAAAAAAACATCATAAAGACCAAGCTTTACCAAAGCTGGTAAGATAACGTATAGCATTATCTTCATTCATGTGTGGTGCAGAGGACATCGTATCCATGGCAGTTCCGCCGGACATTTCTCTTTCAGTAGTTCCGGATTTGTTTTCTCGTACAGAAAATGTGCCTCTAAAAAACACGGAAAAATATATCTTTAATCCAAACTCAACTTGAAAGGGAAAGAAAACCCAAGATAAATGAGGAATTAGAAAGTCTTTGAGAGTTTTTAGATGCTTACGAACTCTCATTAACTCGCCCGAAATGCTGACAGCAATCATTATCACTGTAAGTGGAGCTAACTATCATAAATGCCATTATTAATAAAACCTTTTTTGTTCACCAAAGGAGGAGTATGACCGAGAAGTGCACATGGTAGGAAGGAAGGATCAATAAATCTGACATCTAAGTCTGACAATCTAAGAATCGCGTTGATTTATCAACAAATGTATCTCAAAATTTCATAGAGTTGTCGTATCCATTGAATATAGAGGAATTCATGTGCTATCCTCTCCTCTTCAAAAGTAAAGTAAGATCCTTCGAGAGAAGGCACACTCCTACCATTCCGTGCACTTTGCTACATGGGAGAAACTAAAAAAGACGTAAATTGGTGATATATTTCGTGTAAACTTCGATGAGAGAAAAAAAGTGATCGAGAGATAGCTGCCATGTTCCGGGACGCAGTGATGCTTCATCTACAATCCCGAATGGTTAGCTATCCCAGCAGCACAACAGAACACTGCTACACCAAACCAACAGTCCACCGTACCCGGCATCATTCGATCAAACGATGACATGCTCGACCTACCGTATGTTCAACGAGTAGTGACATCTCAGGACCCTTTCACTTTATTGCAGCTAAGCCAACAGTGGTCGATGGTCTGTAGTGTGTCAGTGTTGCGGAGGTCATTTAGTCGATAGAAAGAAAGTAAGAGATATGGCGATCACTCTGTTTATCTGTATTGATCACTCTCTGGAGGTCAATTAAGAAGCTTCTCTGTCTGCCTGTGAGAAAATATTCCACAGATGAAAATAAATATCTTCATTCGGAAAATGCACATCTCCACATGCTCATTATATTTCGTTGTTCCATGCTTTTGCAATGTGGCGAAACAAATGATTCACAACTACAACGATTGTCTGACTATATGCATGAAGAATGGATATTTCATAATCCTCCTGACTTTTATTTCATTTGAGTTAATTCAACGAAGAATTAATATAAACTAACAATCCAATTTATCTATTAAATAATATAAATTAAATTAGAGGGCCTTCTACTGCTTCTCTTTTAATTTAGGCTTCAACCGTCAACAAATCCTGCTTCGAGTGGATAGACAATAAGTAATATCCGCAGTAAAGAAGCATCTAACAGCTGTAGAAAATCTTTCCAGAAATCATGGATAGTGTAGCGGTAAAACAGATAAGTGAGGGTAATCAACCAGAACTGGAGTTTCTGTACGTGAAAGCGTAGAGTGTCATGCAGAAATTTTGATATTGATATGTTCATATAATTTCAGGAAGATAAACTTTTATCACGGTAATCAAGAAATGATGGTTCTATTATAATAAGCTGTAAGAATTGTTTTAAAACTTTTCTGGTCGGCTCTTCAAAGTCTCAAGTATTTTCCTCTCAATAAATAGGAATGAAAGGTCGAGAAAACCAATTCCCCAGAATTACTGAGAAAGTTTAGGAATGACTAAGCATAATAATTAAGCAATTAAAAGATTCCTGCAGATATCTATGGCAAATCAACTTAATTCGCATCAATGCGTAACACTAACTTGAATTAGATAAACCTTATTTCGGAGGAGAACGATTTCGAGTGGCGATTACTACACCAAAGCAACGGTTTATGTAAGCTGTTGAGAACTGAATGAAGCGATTATTTATATTTATTGACAAAAACGGTGCTCGACATTGATGATGCAAGACTTTGAATATTTGCGGACAAGGAAATGTTCGGAGAAAAAATTACATAAGAAACAATTACGATAACAAAACTAATCATCTCCAGGCGGGACTGATTCCTGCAATATTCGAATGAATTTTACTCTGATCTCAACACTCTGACTGTGCTCTTGTACAATGAATGTTTGCACTTCCATGTGCATCATTTCCAAAGCTCCTCGTATTGCACCACAAAGTATTTGTGAATACCTTGAAATTTGCTTTTCACATGAAGATAAATTAAGGAAACTCTAGATTCTACTTTCCCTTACATAGATGAAAATGAATTCAGAATGGAGTAATAGCTTTTTTCTCGTCCTCGGTTTTGCCGAACTTACGATAACGGCTATCCCTCTCATCTTTACCGACAGAGCTCCTACATGAATTTTTATGAATTCTTGTTTTATGCATATGATATTTGATCTTTTTACCAATCTGCAGCTCGACGAAGATCAGTGTAATATTCATTAATTTATCAACTAAGCATTCATCGCAGGTATCTTGCTTCCTATTAAAAATTTTTTAAGTTAACGGTACAACTTCCAGGAGAAAGAAAATAAGTAAGAGATAAATTAATACTTACCTAAGATCTTGCGCTAACTCAGGTGGAACTTCAACAAATTCTGCTAGAGGATTTGATTCAAGGACAAGAGAAAACTCGTCATTACGAGCACTCCAATTCGATACTTGCGCAGTTACTCCTAAAACATCAAATAATACATCATTTAAAATACAGGGCCTAATGAAAAATGCTAAGTATAAGCTGGATATGGAAGTTAACTAAAAATATTAAAGCTTTGATGCAGTAATTTTTTCTGTATAAAATATAGATGAAATGAAAATCTACAGTGATAACATTTAGGTAATGACAAGAAAATGAAGACTCTCCAGGACTCACCGAGATAACTGCGAAGAGCAACTTTTGCCAGCACATCAGCAACTTGGTGCATATCTGTACAACGCTGAATTTGAGAATTCTTTGCTAGCAAATCATCGGCTAGTCGTAATCCTATATTGTAGCCCATTTTGTCCAGCTGACGGTTAACCTGCAACCATTTCAAACTATAAGTCGGGATATTTTCTTTCGTAGTAGTAACTATGGAAAAAAAAAACGATCCAGAGAAGCTGCAGGAAACGCTGATATTGTAAAAAAAAAAAAACTAACCGCCAGAGGACTTTCCAAATCCCGAAGTAGTTCTGCCACCAAAGCGCCATACGTAAGGGTGAAGAGCTCACCACTAATCTATAAACGATTAAGGAAACATGAATTATCTCAACAGTAAATATAAAATTTTTTTTTGTAATTTCAACCGAATAAGATACATGAGCTAAGCATATCTAACACAAACCAAGCATTTGAATTACTGCTCTTAGTATATATCCAATCAAGGACAACAGTATGATTCCGTACTTCACTTAATGCTTTCAAATGCATATATATACAACTGAATAATACGTATCATTTCAGCAACATAATACCTTCTTCGAGTCGATCCCCATCGGAAATTTGGTTTGTTTTGACATATTTAGTTCAATATTAGAGAAACAAGGAAAATGAAAGCGCTAAACACCAAATTGTCAGTTCGTAGATTTACACATGTCAATTTATTCTTCAATTATTCCGTTCAGCGTTTCTAGTTTTCCAAGCGCTTTGATTTAAATCTTTTATGCCTAAAATTTATACCGTCCCTTGATTATTTTACGTCATTCATCCTTAGTCTGAACTTTAACATAGAAGCTAAATAAACTGCAAAGCCTTCCATGCAAATTTTCATGAAGACAGTGCGCATCATAGAAAAAATAAGTTCTAAAAAACAGATTGGAATTATTTATTAGTAGTTATCTCTTTTGATCAGGAAGGTAAGTACAGTAGTTATTTACAGATACGGTCAATCCATAACAATATAAACGCCATAAACGCCAAATTTAAAATCTGAATATTTATTAAAATCGAAAGAATCAAACTTGGAAACCAAGCATGATAAAATACAGAGCAGGTACTGCTACTGCAGCGATATTTATGGAGTTGCGAATAGTAAAAAAAAATAGTTTCAATCATCATTGTCATAAAACTAGTAACAAACAAATAAGGGAGCATCATTTCTATGTTTTTTTTCATGAATGAATTAAAACATGAAATCTCTTTTTATGAATTAAAACATGAAATCTCAGAAATCTCATCTCCAATCAAAAGAAGAGAAAAAATCAAATATAGCACACCTTTTTATGCATTAATATTCAATTTTAACCTAACTTCGCAATTATTTCGACAAATTCTGCTCTCCTCCTTCTTTTTTTACTCTATACCATAGAAATCCTTATTTGTCATTCTTTCCTCGAATACCTCCCACCCTCGAAGCACATAATAAGTGCAATTAAGATGATTGAGGAGATACATCCAATTTATTTAGCAAAATTTTCCTCTTCCGCTCCAATTCGCCCTCACTTAATTCTGATTCGTTACTTCCATCCTAAAAGATTAATTTGAAATCCAATACTGACATGACAGCAGTTGAGAGATTCTAAATATTGGCGAATATTACAACTATTAAACCAATAATTAAAAACACACCTGTTGCAATGAAGAATCTTCTTCCTCCTTGCACTGTTTTTCAACAGGTTCCTATAAGTTATATATATAATAGGCAAGTGCTAATTGTGATCTGTTCATTCGAATAATGCTCTCCATTCTCATAAATACTACACATTCCTGTTGCATGTCTTATACACCTTGGTTTTGATAAATGGACAATTCTTCATTAGACATCTTCCGACATATCTTATTATCACAGGTGCTGGTGTTATTGGCTCACGTCGCAGTAAGCAAGGTTAAGGTTGATAAAAAAATAACATTCCTCATGATGAACAGAATAAAACACATGAAGATCAGTACTTACTACAGATTGCGATCTTGAGCAAGATTTTGAGTGCAGCCGTTTTTTCTTCTTTTTACGTCTTCGCTCTGTTCCTGCAATTCGCCTCATGTTGATTGTTTTTTCGAAAAAGGGATTTTAGAAGAAATGAAGTAATGGGGAAAGTAATTTTAAAAAACTCACTAAAAAAATATTTCACTGAAGGGTTTAATTTAAACATCTACAATGTTTTCAGAAAATACATCAAAACGTATCAAACTATAAAAAATTAAGAGCAAAACATAGAGACGAAATATCAGGACAAGTCAAACCTACATAACGAGAAAAAATCACCCTTTTCTTCATCGCTTAGATCCGATTTGTGATGCTTTTTCTTTTTCTTTGGTCTTGCTTCGCCTTCTGTTTCGCTCTCTTTCTGAAGTGTAGTAATTTAAAATCCTGTATTAAAACCGATGATGCAAAAAGGAAAAAAAAACAACTTACAGAAAACTTACTTCTTCCTTCCGACGCTTTTTCTTATCCTTCTTTTTCTTCTTTGATGAACCATGATGATGACCACAAGCTTCTGCTAGATTTTGCAGATAATCCTGCAATAAATTTAGCTATCAAATATTCAGTTAAAAAAAGAAATATGTTGTCTTTGTTACTTACCCACTAAATTATCAAAATAGAACACTGAAAGGCTTTCTACGTGATTGGTACATTATATTATATTTATTAAAAAAAATCTCACATTAAAGAATTTCTCTCGAAGCTGCTCAGTTTCAACTGTAATAAACGCTTCTTCGTTTTCAATTTTCGGCCGTATAACTTCCCACTGTGAGTTTGGTTCAACTGGAGGAACTAAAGTTCGTAGAATATTTCGAAATGCTGTTTCATGCCGTCTTCTCTGCAAAATATCCCGAAAGAAATATAATTTTTATGGAATCCTCTACTTATATTCTCTTCTTCACTCTAGCTACAACACAATGTATATTTTATGTTTTATTCTTCTTAATATTGAATGTATATGCTCTACTGTCTTTCAGAATAAAAGGAGCAATTTTTCTGTTGATCATCCATTTGATGATATTCATTTAATTGATTTCTCCAAAAGTGTTCATATTTAACCTTTCTTGCTTCCTCACGCTCCTGTTCTTTTTCTTTAGCTTCTGCTTTTTCTATCAGGGAATTGTAACAGAGTTTCATGTTACCTGGATCAACGGTTTTACCTCTTTCGTCAGACGACACCCATTTGCAAAGCTGATCAAAAGTTGTACCCACTTCAATTGTTACATTCAAGTCCTGAAATTACAACTGACAAGCAATTCCATGAAAAAATTCTATTATTTTAAAAGTGGAGAAGCCAGACTACCTTTAGAATTTCTTTTATCACTCGTCGATCTTGACCAAACTGACTTTTTAAATCTTCTACATAAAATTTGAATAAATCTAGCGGTGTGCTACCGGACTGCTTCAACATATTATCAAAACGCGAGTCGGCAGAAATGACAGGATACAGTTCACTCCATAACGATATTGAAGTCAATTCCCCTGCAATTCAAATTATAGTAAAAATTTTCCAAAATGCAATTGTGTTAGAGCATCAAAAAACCATCAAGACCAATTCTTGTGAGCTATCAACGGCTTCTTGTTTTTTCCGTTCAAAAAGAAACAGAATCGGTAAGTCAAGAAAAAAAAACAATATTGGTATTATTTCAGAAAAAGAACCAACCTCGTTTATGTAGTTCCACCAAATAAACTTGAAAAGCTTCACGTATTTTTCTTTCTTGTCGGCGCCTTCGACGCTCCTCCATGTCCTTTTCCTTTAAATAATGCTTTTCTGCCGTACGTATATGCTCCTCAAAAACAATCAGCGCATCTTCCTTGTCCATATCTAAGATATTCTACTTAACAGCATCTTTATTGCCAATTTAATATTTTTAAGTTCAAATTTTTAATGATATATTTACAAAATGCTGTTAATATTTCATTATTAAAAATTCTAACATGGATATTTTCATGAAAGCAAACAAATTCAGCTTCCAATAACTTAAATAAACTCAACAATAGTAAAATCTTAATTAATTATAACTCACTTTGCAAGGTGCTGTCATTGGCAAATGAAGGATTTTCAATAAGGAGCCGCTGAGCTTGTGCCCACGTTGTCCGATAAGTTATTTCCTCCATCCCTTCTAGGATATCAGCTAGAGCTTGAACATTTCTACGACGAACAGCTTTCGCATTTTCTTTTTCACGTTTGTCTATGAATTCCTACAAAGAATTATATGTAAAACGATTTCAGAACAAATACTCTTCCATACCATATCTCTGTTATATAGCTGTTCCACTTTTTGCAAATTCTTCCTTACCATCGAAAAATAAATTGACTGAAAAGCGAGAATGTTCGAAACACGAGCATTTGTATTAACACTATTTAATAACGCAATATTTGGCGCATAAATCTTTCTGAAATTGGATGTAGCAAAACCAAGATTGCCACGTATTCGCTGAGATTTTCTGGTAAAAACACGATTACAAGAGGGACACATTTATTAATTCTTACAGTTGTTTAAATTCAGCCGCTTGACACACGCACACTTCAGTCATCATTTGCATATAGAGAACAACCTAGTGAACTCTCATATCACGTATAAATAGATGAAACCCTCAGGAAATAAACATAAGGTACGTGGAAGTGAAATATTTTCCATGACAATAGTTGGTTTACACTTACCAATGCATCTGCAAAAATTTCTTTCCGTTCGCCCTCATGAACGGCCTTCCAGATGGGTTCATCAGCAAAAAGTATTTCTGCTTTAGAATAACGCATAGTTGGCCGTACTTTTGGATTACTCTGTAACCATTCTTCCAGATCCTCCTTCGCTTTTTTGATGGCAAGACGTTTTTCATCCTTAAATAGCACGACTAATACAACGGAGTATTTCAAATGCCTATTTCGCTGCAATAGACGAACCTGGTCTTGCAATGAAATGTTCCAGCAGGGAAGTGAGCAGACGAAGATGCTGAGGATTGTTGAATATTCCGTCTTTTCGTCGTCCATTATGATTTCTACTAAGTGGAATGTTCAGGCAGGCAATTTTTAGCTGGCTATCTCAGGTAGTGTTTAAACAGTTCTACATTTCTCCAATATTTTGCGCTTATGCTACCTTCAGCAATCACTAGCCTAGTTTAATTTCACATAATTCCAAACAGACGTTTCAAAGTTCCCCGCATTTCAACATATTGCACATAATATATCTATTACAAATCGTTTTACTCTTTTATTTAGAAAGAAGTTGAAGAATAACAGCAAAGAGGTACGATGGCGCAACACTTTGTTCGTAAAGAAACTGCTGGGTCGATCTTTCACAGGTTATTTAATCATGATATTAATTCAACTTGACCTTATAACATATTTTAGATGTGATGCATTGCATCACCTTACTATATAAATTTGATGGACTTATGACTTATACAGTAATTGAAGTATGCATCAAAGCAAAACAATCAATTTATTAGAAAAGCGTAGAGAAACTCTAGAAGCATTTGTTAACGCTGTTTCAGAGTTACGGGATTATTACGTTCCGGTCAATTGGAATGGAAAGAGAGACCATTGTGGTACGATGTGTATGTAGCTAATCCACCACATATTGAACCTTCTGTAAAAACATCCTTCCCAATTAGGAAGCTGTATTACAAGGAAGATGTCGCTATGGCGTGAGTTATTATGTTTTCTAAATTCCTATGAATACTCTTCCAGCATTATGTATACGAAAGAATTCAAATCACAAGTGAAGATGAAAATGGCAATATCGGGATTTGATGGTGCCATCTTAACTCTTCCATAGACATTTTATGCTTGTTTCAGGCGATTTTATAAGCAATTTCGTTCACTAGGAGCCATTAACATCAGTAATGAAGAGTCTCAATCACTGTGCAAAAAATTCACCGATCTTTACAAGGCGATCGAAAAAACGTGGCCCGACCTAAGTGAAGACGAACATTATCAGAAAGCGTTAGTAATGCTGAATGAGAAACTCAACTTAAAAAAACAGGAAATAAGCGAACAGAAGCCTGTCTCGCAACAAGAACATTAATCATAACTATATGCTCTGTTCTGTAAATTTGTTTTGTGATAATAAATAGTTTTTGTACTCCAAATTTCAGTAAGATATTGAAGTGCCAACACCTTCCTTTAAGAACATTTTTCAATTTTAATCCCACTCCATTTTCTGAACCTTCATAGTACTTCCTGCAACGCATTATTTAGGTGCTCTTGGCTTAAAAAAATGGGGTTACTTTCTCTTCAGTTAAATTTGAATTTGAAAATTGAATCGAGTAATCCTGAACAACAGAATTTTAAGAAGTGATCTGAAGTGGATATCACTTGACGGCCAGTTAGTATTTTGAAATAAGAATCTTCAATCATTTCACCCTAGAATGTAACTTTGTAGAAACCCAAGCTTCCAAAATAGTAGTCACGTGCCACTGTGACCAAATGGAAATCACGAATCGTAATTCCTTGAAATTCAATACTGGAAAAAAACTAAGACATACCCTTTCTTCTTTTTGCCTCTGCACTTTCCATGCATTGAACAACTGCTTTTTTTCGCTCACTTTATTTAAAATTCGAAATCTGGGATCATGCTGAATGTATCTCATTGCTTGTTCCCATGAACTGGTAGATGATATCTTCCCCTCATTGTACTGAAAAATAACAATGAATGTTTGGGATGAAAATAAGATCTTTTTTCAGTACAATCAATCGCCTTTTCATTAAAAGCAATAATTTACCTTATCTCGTAGCAGATCTCGGAATTTATCACTTTGCTTCTGTTTTAGATCTTTCTCTTCTTTTCCATCTTCCGCATCTGCTTCTTTTGTACTTCCTGCTTGCTCCTAAAACTATGAAAGCATGAATGAAATGTCTGAAAATGAATTCATATGCAGATTATATTACAGTGAGTTCTAATTCAATGGAATTTTCTGTTTTACATTAGGTTGTTCGAGTGATTTCAGTGTCGCCAGCATTGCTTTTTCCAATTCAGATTCTCCGCTACCCTGTGGTTCTATTTTCGATGTATCACTCCCTTTTAATTCCACGCCATTTTTTACTGAAAAAAATTGTCGTGTATTTTTTTTATGTATGAAAAGGAAATTCTTTGGCAATACATACTGAGTAGTACAACAATAGGTCAATTAATATTCCTGAGCTAGGTGCGCCTTTTTCGATTGATCTGGAGACATAATAAACTGATCAACTTCACAAGCAATTTCCGAAAAAAACACCTTTTGTCACAACTGCAGGATCGAAATCTTTTGGACAAATCCAAGTGGTCTCCTTAGTTTCGATATTATAATAATAAGGTCGTCCTTCCGGTGTTTTGTACTCACGCCACAGCTTTGCAGCAGCTAATTTTTTCTGAAAAGTAGTGAAAAAGTTTGATTCCACGCCATTTTTTACTGAAAAAACTGTCATGTATTTCTTTTTATGTGTGAAGTTGGCTACTGCAGTACTCAGAAAATACATGGTATTCAAAAAAATTACCTATCACATACCTCCTCGGGACTTTTTAACTCATCCGGTTTCTGCCATGAAGACTGCTTTGTTACTTTATTATAATAATATACACGTCCATCAGATGCTGTGTGCTCTGACCAAATCTGTAATGACTTAACTGAAAAAAATCCATTTGAAATAGAAAACTTTTTCAATTCGCATACTACAAGGCATGACCATATTTTAATTCTTTCCTGAATATATTTGTTATATCAAAATATTACAGATGCTAATATAAATCAACAGACGTACATCACTAGTAGTACCAATGGAAGACGTGCGAGGTGATTGTGCTGCAGCAGCTATTTCCATCTGCATCTGAGGTGGAACAAGCATTGGTCGGGGTGTAGTCGCGGGTGAAGCCACTGATACTTGGGGAAGTTGTAGTGATGCTGGTGCTGTGCTCACGGCCATCATCGGTACTGGAAGTGAATGGAAGGAAATATTACGCTTTTGCAACATAAAAAATCCCTTATAAATTTCTAAACATGATCCTAGCAAATGACTTAATAAAAAATCGCGATGTTGTAAAAATTTCTGAACTGAATCTCGTAATAAAAAGAAAAAAAAAAATTTACTTCTCTGCAATGGTGGCATGATAACTTGCTGCTGTAAATAAGTCGCCTGCGATGCTGCTGCAGCAGCATTTGATGATATATTCATCAAAGGAGAGAATGCTGGAGGCCCACCGAAAGGTAACATTTTCCCTCTGTAATTTGCATACTTTATAATGCGTTGTTTAACAAAAAAAAGAATCGCTGTTCCACTACAACTGTAACCACTTCATGAGACTTAACTCCCATCTTCATTCCACCCTCATCATTCCAGTTTCTAACAACCGCTATAACTTCTAACGCTTACTACCGCTCCGTTTTCAGAAAATAGTCCAAAAAGAATTATGGAAATTTGCAGCTCTATACTCTCTTCTTTTCACCGACCAATCCCATCTGATTGCATGACATACTGGATAGAATAAAAAGGGCGATGTGTTAATCGAATTTAATTTGTAGATCTCCTAATTTGTAACTCGATTGTCCCCCACAACAACACACCCTTAAAATATATTTTCTCGTGAAACTGCAAATCCTTCTATCAGAGTTTTATCATTTCTATCCCAAGTCCTTTTCTCCAAGAATTCAAGTTATTAAATACTAGAAAAATTTATTGAAATTGATAAAGCTTCCTTAATGAATAATCAAAATATCTGGATATGAAATCCAAATCTAAAAGGGCATAAAACTAGTGCATTCTCTTTTCGTTAAATTGCACACTTGATTTTCCATCTATACTGCGTGCTTGAAAAGAATCGAAAAACTGCAAATAACGCAGCAAATTGATAAGTTTATTTATAAACGTAAGAAAAGCAGCACAACGGACCCGAAGTTACATGAGACCCGGTAGTTTCATTTACGTCTTGAATTTTTCCTGACAACAGCACCACTATTGATTCTTATCATTAAATGAAACGGACCCGAA